CTCAGCCTTCCAAGTAACTGGAACTACAGGCGCGCGCTACCACGCCCGGCTAATTTTTTGGTTTATTGTAGAGATGAGGGCTCACCAAGTTGCCCGGGCGGGTCTTGAACCCGCGGGCTCAGGCAATTCACACACCTCAGCCTCCCAAAGCGCTGGGATTATAGGCTGAGCCACCGAGCGCGGCAAAACCAGGGGAGTTATACAGAGTTCAGAGGCTTTGTCCCTGAGTGGTCCTCAGTCCAGAGTTTGCTCTGGACAGGTTTTGTGAGTGATGACTCCTGATTTGGTGACCATGATACCCTCTCAGTTGCAGCTGAAGCTCTATTCTATATGAAGTCCAGAGAAGAGATAAGTGATTTTTCTAAAACCACACGAGAGAGAGGGGGTCCTCAATCAACTGCATTCAAAAGGGCCCTCCTGCCTCAGGGGCTAGACAAAGGGCCTCTGACTGGTGTCTAGGAGGGACTCCTGTCCAGCACAGGGAAGGGCTCACTGTTGGGGGAAGGATGCGGCTGCCCTGTCCCTGGCCCCATCTCTCTGGAGTTGCTGGCAGAGCTCTGATAGCTGGGTGATCTAGAGTCAAGATGGCGTTTGAGTCCCAGTAACTGTGGGACTTCAGTTGGGCAAGCTGCCTGACTTCCTTCTGTGGGCCTCATTTCCTCATCTGTAAAATAGGGCTAATAATAAATACCTCTCTGGAGGATTAATAGATATTCCTGGTAAATAGCTTCACACATAGTACATAGTCAATAAATGATAGCTATTATTAGTAATTAGCAGTGGGACAGAGTTAATTTCAGGCATGAGCTCTGGGGTGGGGGGAGGGAAAGCAGAGGGAACTCCCCTTTCTTGCCCTTTCCTGCCTTCCACCTCCATCTCCCTGACCTCCTGCTCCCTCATTGGCAGAGGCTAAACTTCCCTCCTCTTAACTCTCTGGCCTCAGAGGTCATTTCAGTCATTCCCCAGTGACAGATTCAGTGCCTGTAGAAATTCCCAGGGATTGGCTGGGCTCAGTGCCTCAGTCCGTAATCCCAGCACTTTGGAAGGCCGAGGCGAGTGGACTACCTGCGTCCGTGGGTTCGAGACCAATCCGGGCAACTTGGCGAGACCTTGTCTCTAAAATAAATAAATAAATTTTTTAAAAATTAGCCGGGCGTGGTAGCGCATGCCTGTAGTTCCAGCTACTTGGAA